GTGTTCTCGTTTCTGATCTAGGGTTACATTTTCACAATAGACATTTATACACCATTGGATAGAGAATTTAAAGGGCTACATTTTGGACTATTTATTTTTTAAAACACTCGAAATCGACTTTTTGGCCGCTTAGTTGCCCACTGTGTACTGTGTTCCCTTGAATTAGTCTAACTCTTTCTCTTTCTGGTCTTTCTTTCTCTTCTAGCATTATTTTCTTCCTTGTTAACTTTTCAGTAACGATATAAACTTGAGATTTCTAAGTCATGTATTAAAGCAAATTATGAACATGTAATGTGACAACTGTCTCGATTTGTTCTGTATTTCATTGAAATAAAAAAAAGTTTATATAAAAAGAAAATATATCCAGTACTATCAAAAATAGCTATGAAATATTTATGTATACAAGGTATACGTGCACCGTCAGAAAGAATGTTTTCTGCCGCTGGACATATAACTCGTGACAGAAGATCGAGATTAACACCAGATAACGTTGACACACTGTTATTTCTAAATAAAAATATGAATTGGGTTTGAATAATTCTCTAGTACACATTCTCTTTTTACTCTGTTTTTGTTGCGTAATAAAGTTGCTATATTCAATTTTATGGTCTACTGTTCTTTCCTTCTTATTGGCTCTTACGTTTCTTCGTTCCAAGTATATAAGAGAAAACAAATGTTACGTTTATTACGTGTTACGTTTGTTACGTACGTAAAATATTTATCGTTGTACTTTATTTAATGTTCTTTCTCATATTGACTCATGGCTTTTGTAATTCTTTCAATCGTCTTTGTATCCTCCTCTCCTGATTGTCTCATTTCTGCTCGAATTCTTTCCATAATTGCAGCGTTCCATTCGTTCCAAAATGCAGTTGAACCACGAAATGTAATTTTGCCCTTTGTTGCACACAATTGTTTTGCTATATGCTCATTTTGTTCAAATTTTGCCTTATTACCTAAGTACATTTGGTTCACTTTTATTGACTCCCAATTAGGTTTAATTTTAACGTGTGATCCGACACGCCACACATCGGCACCACAACCAGATTTTCGAACTTTTTCATGATCCTCAGGTGTGGTTGTCTTCTGACATTGATAATAATTTTCAGCACTATAATATTCGATACTTTCTACTTTGAATTTGCACGGTTCAAAATTATCAAGTTCAGAGTGAGCATGACCATCAACCATTCCAGGGCCGCCCATTTTATTGAGTAACAGCGAAAATAAAGTAATCACCTAAAATTTCGAAAAATTTTATTGTTGTGTTCTTACACTTTTTTTGTGATATCCTGCTCTTAAGTAAAATAAAATCTTATCCTATCTATCTAACAATATTGACAGATCATTTTCTCAACAACGTCACCTACATATATCCCGAAACAGAAAAAAATTCTTGCTAATCTAGTAGTCTAAAATGTCGAATCTCTGTCCTTCTCCAGGTTATATGAAAATGAAACTTTCATGCACATAAGTGATGATTAACTGTAAAAAAAGCGGCTTGCTGCACGGAAACAAAGGCTTCTTTTTCTATAATTGCATCAAATAAGCATTGATTTACTGTCAACATGTGAATAGTAAAAAGGTTTCTCTTTGTTTTTAGTCTAAAATGAATAAAAAGAAAGCGAAAAAGAAAGAATGAAGGCAGGAACAGATATGCGAGAAGCACATGTATTAGTAAAAAACGCTTTGTTTCTCTGATAAAAGTAAGTGACTTTTTGTTGATCATAGAATGAAAATAGAATCCCATTAGCCATTTTGATGCAAAAGAACAAGCAAATAAATATTCATTGAGTTAACCAATGCATTAATATAAATAATCTAAGAAAAACATGATTATTACAGATTTGAGTTTTTTGATAGACGTTGCAAATATCTTATATCAACTGAACTGTTGAACATAATGAATATCCGGATTTGTGAAATGAAATTAGAATTGTAGCTTATAAGACTGTTTCGTTTATTAACTTCTTGTATTTTAGCACTGATTGGTAATAATCTAATTAGAAATATGTCAAGCTACCCACTAGTCAACGAATTACTTTTTGAGAAGATTGGGAAACCTTAGTTCCATCCGGAAAAATGAAGGTAGCAATACTTTAAGCTTCGAATTATATTCAGACATTGGAAGCGTAAAGAACTCATACACGTAAACGGTGAGATAACGCATGTCCCATAAATAATGGCATTGTTTGTATTTTGTGCTTTCCTCTGTCAATTTTGATAGTCGAGACTTGAATGTTTTTTCTAAAAGATAGCCCATTCAATTCTCTACAGAGTCATATGAAGAGAGTTCCTGTAAAATACAATCGTGAAATCCTGTGCATCTAACACTAGTATGCATCTGAAGTGAACCTTTACACATGCCCTTTTCCCTAAAATTAACTATCATGCCCCGTCTGACCACGAAGACGTCAATTTACTGTGGTGCACGTTTTCCTATGTTTTCGACTGTGTTCTTTCTTATAACGCTCAAAATAAGTAGGTCGGATTAGATAATGAATGAGTAATGCTCATTTTCCTTGGAAAGTTGCTTGGATTTTAAATGAAGGTTTCAATCATGCACCCTCTCTATTGAAGAAATTTTATTTTATACCTGTTCGGTCTTTTCAGGATGATAGAAGAAACATTTTTCTTTAGATTGGTAAAAGACTTGCCTATAAGAATTACATTTTAATCCAACTAAATCGTGGTTCGGAACAAGTGCAACATTAAATTCGAAAAGATCAAAATGGTAGAAGAAAGAGGAAGGTGAACTTCTGGCTAGTTCAAGCATCAGAATTTTTCAATTGCGACTCGTCTTATAGGGCTTTTCGTGGGCTACAAAACGACGTATTGAGTATATCAATATTCAGTCAAATGGGGGCATAATATTCGCAAAACGCTACAGTTAGTTTGAAAGTGTATCTTTTCCGGGGCATGTCTGTGTTGGCTGCATAGGATTTTACGATTGTATTTTACAGGAACTTTTACAGGGAGTTCAAGTCTCAACTATCAAAATTGACAGAGAAAAGCACAAAATACAAACAATGCTATTATTTATGGGATACTTGTTTTATATTTTCCTTTATTCCCTTCTTAAAACTTTTTCAACTAGCAATCTCTTCATTTAAAGGGGGGTACATTCATCCATTTTTTTCGCTCAGTTTGTAGAGCAGCACACTTCAAAATGTATGATCCGATAGTTTTTTCCAATTTTAAAACTTCAAGATTTTTAGAAAAAAAAAAATTCTAACTTACGAAGAGGGTTTTTTTTGCCCATCTTTCAAAATTTCAATTAAACTTTTGTTTTTGAAGATGGGAAGCTAAATCTTGCGCCAATGCATAGAAGACATCGAGATGTACCCACAAAAGGTTTTTATAGTTTTCCGACGAAGTTTGAGGGAGAAATTTGATCTTGAGCTGGCCGCTCCGTTTTTGGTGCAAAAAGCAATTTGAAGAAAACGTTGCAGATAACTTCGCTTCTGGGGAGCATTTTGAAGCAATAGTTGCGCTACAAAAGTTGTTCAGCATCAAATTCTACATGAGATGACGAGGGTAACTTTTGAAAACTCGATTTTTAAACTGAATTCTCCGAAAATTTCAACTTTTAAAAACCATGTTTTTGGATTTAAAAATCGAGTTTCCAAAAATTTTAAAATCTCCTTCGTCATTCCATGTAGAAATCGATTCCGAACAATTTTGGTTTCAAAATGCTTCCCTGAAGTGAAATTCTGTACAAGGTCCTGGAGATTTTACTCTCCGGGACTCTGAAAAACCGACCTGAAAATCGTTATTTTTGTCGGTTTCTGACACTTCCATTCGATCCCGTATATGAAAGTGTCTATGTTCTATGAGTTAAATATTTTCTCTATTTCCATATGAATTTTCTCCAAGATCCATTCTCAAGGTCAGATTTGAATTTCTCCGCCAGACCTTGTTCGAGAACGATGACAATCTTTTTACATATACATCTCGATACGTTCTATCGATTGGTTACAAAACCGAGCTTTCAAACTGAAAATTAAACATTTTATTTAAATTTTAAGAAATGTGCAAGAAGGTAGAAAAATATTAAAAAGTTTTTCTAGAAAACTATAAGTCCGTAAACCTCCAAACTCTTTTCATAAATATTTTGAATTATCCTCTAAAATGTGGCACAATTTGAATCAAATCTAAATGGGTAACCCCACCAAAGGGTATTTTTTTTTCACAGTGTAAACAGGAACAATTTAAGCACAAGTAGTGTTTGTCGGGAGATTCACACATCCCATTGACTATAAGTAGATAATTAAATCTTTTTCATCCGAGGCGAACTCTGTCGAATAATCTATATCAAAGCTTGCTTCAACCTAATAAGCGTATTGAAATCAGATCTCCGTCCGAATTTCCTGTAGAATTCTTTCATTTTTGTGGGTGCGGTAGACAGACAGATAACAACGTGGGTGCGCGGCAGAATATGTTACTAATCTTTTATTCATTTCTGTATTAGCTGTGTTTACTTGAATTGCTTGTATCAGCTTGTGCTACTATGCACTCATGCCTGTTTGTCAAATAAAACTAACTAACTAAGTAATAATCGGGCATTGCTAGATACCTGCAGGTTTAGAAGGAAAATTAGATTTAAAGGAAACTTTTGTGATGTTCCACCGAAACAGTCAAATAATATCACAATATAATGTGCACATAGATTATGTATGCAATAGCATGGGAATTTTCCAACTGCGAGCATAACGGGTGGCCTAGAAATAATGACACACGTTTACAACTTATTTCCGTGCACTTAACTGACGTTTTACGACTCTATTCTAGCCTGATTCGATACAGCATTTTCTGCTCGACAAAATCCATTACCTTCTTTCATCAGTATTTTGTTATCAGAAAAGATTGTGTAGAGTAAGGACACGTAAAAACTACAACTGCGACGAATATTTTTTTTGACTGGGAAGTACTGCATGCTATTAGAGCATTCATTGCTAAATGAAAAGAAGATAAAACAAAAGACAAATATACAAAAGAATACACTGATATAAGCAGTATTAGATCGACTCGTCAGACATAAATAGTTCAAAAATTACAACAAAATGCATTATAATGTGTGAAACAATCTCCTCCAGCCGGAATAGCTCAGTTGGGAGAGCGTTAGACTGAAGATCTAAAGGTCCCTGGTTCAATCCCGGGTTACGGCATAACTTTTTCAAATTGTTCGTTGTCTATCTTTACTTATTGATGAATCGTGAAAATTTTCTAAATCCTAGTATAAAAAATACTCTTACTTAATGTCTTCGCGACTTGAATACTGAATGAAACCATAGGTTATCGACAACGTTGAACCTCGTGACACTGTTTGCTTTCGGAACAAAATTGTATGGAAATCTTTACGATGTGGAATAATCCGCTTTGGTTCCTTTCACCGAAAAATTAAAAAAATTTATAACTTAGTCAAAATAGATGCTGATACTTCAACATATAATCCATTTTGTATGC